TGACAAGGTGAGAACGAGTGGTTTTCTCGCATCCAGCGCGAGCTTCCTTTAATTTGTTTTTAAGTTCAATCCAAAGCTACGATAAAATTGAGCCAATGAAGCTGCGTCAGAAGGGAACCCTCACTGTGCTCGTCGTCTTTGTGTGTTTACTATAACCTATTTAACCAATCACGCAAAAAAATAAATAAAGGAAGACTCATGGCACATTTAATGTACCTGGATGGTTGAGCCAGGAATACCAAAATAACAAATTCGGCGAGCGCTGTGGTGATGCATTTTTCGGCGCTACCGGATGTGCTCCCTCGGGCGTTGGTGCGGACGCACTTAGAGGTAAGCTAAATAGGTCTTCGAATTTGGAAGAACTTGGTAAAGGTTTGAATGCAGGTACCTTAAAGTCCGTTGCTCGTACATTATGCAAAACGACAGTCTGCAAACACGATTCCCCGAAATATCCGTGGTTTGAATGCCGCGTGCCCGCTTGGACTCATTGTCATGCGGCACTCGAAGCAGGAATCTCGGGTGACTCGATCGCTTTCGAAATCTGTATGCACAATGTCGTTTGGTACGATGTATAAGCAGCTTGACCTCGACTTTAAAATTATGCGTTCAGAGTTATCTTTCGAATATATCGCTCGAAGTGATGCGACGGAATTTGGCCGGAACCCCTCGCTCGCTGCAGCACGCCGAGCGCAGTATAGAGCGCGGGAGCGGAAGGCAAAACTAGCGAAAAGTGACCTGATCGGGCAGATGACCCCCGCTCTCCACTGAGTCGGCTAGGAGATGCAGACGATAACTTCACGACGTATTTTACGGAAAACAGGCGACCGAGATGCTCATGGCATCACTTGCAGAAGCCCCTGCCTCTTTTTTTTTTTTTCACAATAGAAGTGGTTTACGCTTAATTCATCGCAATTTAAATATAACAAGCAAATTCAGAAGACAAAAAAAAAAAATAAAAGAAGAAACTCCAGGAGTCCGCTCTGAACTCCATTTTCGTTTCTTGAAGTGATCCAGCTTCCCTTTAGTGTGAAGAAGACAACTTGGGCGACGCTTCGGCGTCTCGTGCACCTCGAGCGCGCTCGAGAAGTCAAAGCACGGTGGAAGGCGTGGAACGCGTGCCTCCTACCGTGCGGCGTTAAAGAAAAAAACGCCCTGCCGTTTTTTGTTTTTTTTTAATGCGAAAGCATTAACTGTTTCATAGAGCCAGCTGACGTCATCAGTCTGAAGCGCGAAAACGGCATATAGTTTGCTTCAGTTCCATCGGCTGGCGCGCGTCGACGGGGCTCCCATGGGCCGCTGCGCTCGTCAGTTTTCACGACCACTCCCCCCATAGCGCTGCGTGTCCATGAACGAGGAGCGCCCAAGGTCACCAGGGGAGCGCACGCGCCGATCGGCGACGAAAAGTACGCAGCAGACGCAAACGGGAGCGGACGAGCGGCTTGCATGCTTTCGCATTCACAACTCATACGAAATGCCTAGGTGAACCTCCATCTTTTCTTTTTTTTTTTTTGTTAGTGATTACAGCGTTTGTAATTATTGTAGAGAAGCAAGTTTTAAGCTGTTCCATGTGTTACTTTTATTGTCCATCAAAAGTCGAGGCTTACTAAAAAAGTAGACTTTATTTAAAACATGTACGCGAAGCAAATATATTGCTCATGTCTATGGGACATGCAAAACACTTTATTTCTTTTAGGCAAATAGTAACCGACTGGTTAGAAGTACCATGTAACGTTTCATTTCCTAATTTTTCTAAGCAGCTGCTTACAAGTCATCATTCTTGCGTATATTACATGAGGCATGCGTTTGTTTCTGCCCCAATGTGCTAAAAGAGCTAACAGGAAACTCCAGAGAAGATTGAGCGGAGTGAGCCTCTTTACTGATCCTGAACAGAAAGTGCCGTGAGGTGTTTTATGGTTGGCTCATGGCTTATGTCGTTCCATCACAGCCACGTGCCTATATTAAAGATGGTTAGTACACGTGGCTTTTTCTGGATATTGTTAGAGCACGGCAATTTCCCTCACGCACACTAATTGACCACGATCAGAAACACAAATATTCGCCTATAAATTGACTGTTGCCGAGCGGAAGCAGGTTGGTGACGCAGTATTCTTAGCCAGTCAGTCAGCCCGCTTCGCCGTGACAAGTCCAGCACCGCTTGAAACCGAGCAAGTCACGAGAAAGTCGGGAATATTTTTTTTACAACAGTAGCCAACATATTCCAGTTTTGCTTTGCAATATTTGTACCAAAAAATCGCGCTTTTGGTTTCTTGCTTTGATGTGCCAGTTCCCTTCTGGCCCACTACAGAATAGGCAGTAATTAACTTTAAAACCCAATCTGCTTTAGGGTTGTTTACGCTATTGTTTCAGTGTTTTTACTCTCACCGTGTACGGGCTGACTGATGGTGTTTTTCAGATCGCACATTATTTGGTCTCAGCGCTGAAGAAGAACATCCTGAACTTCTCTAGACAGCCGGGGCTCTACAGCGCACATTTATCAAAAATTATATAAAAAAAGAGAAATCGAAAATACGTAGACTTCCGAATTTTTAATAAAAAGATTAACAAAGAAAATAAATCTAAATTATGCTACATTAAAACAAAAAGAGGGAAAAAAGCACGTTTCCCAGACACTATTTTTTTTTTTCTTGTTTAAACGATCCACGCAGCAACGCATACTTCATCGGGGCTGTCAAAGAGTTTCGCAATTCGGTATTTGTTGCTTCGTACTGCCTCCAGCAGCATGCGATCAGTGCCATTGGCCTCGCTTCGGGCCAGAGGAGAAATCTCGGCGTGGAAGCAAGCGCGGCTGTTTGTCGAAATCTTTCGCTTTATTAGATTCGTCGTTAACAAACGTTCCAAGGTCCGGTCCCAAATCACGGGAAGCAATTCCCCGGGGTGAAATAAGACATATGCGACTCAGTGGGGGCCAGCCGTGAATCGTCGTCGCTGTCGTTTTTCCATCGAGCTTTATGAAACCGTTTGTTCTTTCTTTTTCTGCGTCGGCCCATTTCTTTAGGTTAGTGCCGCCGTAGGAATTCCCATCAATGCAAGCAGATACGGCGCTAAACCTCTGCGGTGTTGGCTCAGCGCTGGCATCGAACCGAAGGGAACTGAAATATGTACGAAATTTAGCGCTGTGAGCCAGACTTTGCGGAGACCTAAAATGGAATCCAACACATCTATATTGTGTTAATCGTTTGGAAAAGAACGGGCTAAGACTGTTGAGTCTGTACAGTTAGACTTTGTTTGTGCAGCCTGTGTTGCAAACTTTGTTAACCTTCACGAAAGTGAGAGTCAAATGTATGATCAGTATGGCACGCAGTCAAAGAACACAAAAAATAAAGTACCATGGATATTCGGGCGAGTTGGTTTAAGACTACTTAAAATAGAAATAATAAAAACACGGAGTACTTTCACAGACAACCACACTTATGAAATACTGTGGTAGTCTGTGAAAGTTCTTCGTGTTTTTATTCATTCTATTTTGAGTATTCATAATCACAACACGCTCGCCTTAGCCAGCCTGGTCTAAGACATTGTAAAAAAAAACAAAAAAAACCAAAACAATTTGGAATGAACACCGAAATCACTTTATTTCTTAATTGTTCTTCTTTAGTCTGGACTCGCAAATTGTATTTATCAAAAATTTGAATCCGCGATTTTCAGTCCGGATTCAGTCAGAAAAAACGAGGTATATTGCTGCGACATACTTATCAGTGCACGCGTTCCAGAGCACTGAAACGCACGTTGAAGCATCACGTGGTTCCTAACTGACTCATGATTGGACCTTACGGCCCGCAGCTCTGGAGTTTAGTCCATAGTACGGTGAGCGAAGTACGGCGCAGTTGAATAAAAAAATGTATAGCATAGTTGGAAGAGCACTCCACTAATCTTGTTGGTAGAGTACACCGTGAAGCGAAGATGTGGCAAAATGTGGAGAAACTTTGCCCGGTGGCAAGTTCCCTCTGCGAGATGTGTAACAGCCAGTGTTCAGGCGCCGCGAGCAGAGCGAACGCAGCCGGGTGAGATTGGTTGCTTGTTAGCAGCATGTTCGCTCCACGGAGTTCAGCCTTTAATCGACAGCTGAGCGCACGCGTTTCGTTGCACAAATTAATTATCCACCTCCTCGCGTTTGCCGGCGTATACATTTTCGAATATGGTACCGCGCAGCAGCCGCTCCCTGCCGTTGTTTGTGCTATATGTTCCGCCTTGGGCATTTAGCGGTGCTTAATCTCAAAAGCTCTATAAGTGCTGGGAAAATCACGGGTGCCAGCTGTGATATTCGCGAGTGTTTTTCTTCCGTGAATTCTCGTGCAAGAAGAAAATGCGGATTTATGTTTTCAGAGTATAATTTTTTGGTACTCGCTGCAGATAAATTGTTGTATCGGGGAAATCGGTGGCCAAGTGGGCTAGGGCACACCAACTCGGAGCACGTGAAGCGAAAGTTCGCGCTGCAGAACCCAGGATTCCTGGGCTCAATTCCCACCCCTGCCCGTTTGGATCTGGATAAGCATCGTACCGGCGTGCCGTTGTGTACCACTACTGCGTAATGCACCAGGCTAGCGGTTGTACTGCACTGGCTAAATTTATCATCAACAGCTGAGGGGCAAGTCGCCCTTGAGGCAGACTAAGTTCAGGCAGTGTAAACATGACCACACTCCAATCTTTTTTTATATATATTTCGTCTTGCTTTGATTTGTAACGCAGCCAATGCTAGGAGCTGATCTGAGCAATCCAACAAAGTAAAAAGCTGTTCAGCATAATGTGTTTTTTTTTATGTTTCTGTACCTGTTTGGTCATTGCTAAACTAATCATGTATGAGAAAAGCCCAGTGACTTGCGCTTTTCATACTGTTTAATTGGTCCTATCAGCTCGTAGCTTCGTCAGCATCCGGACGTAAACCAAAACAAAGGATAGGTGAGGTGCATCTGACAGCCGCTTAATGCGCTGTAAGCATATAAGGCAAAATGATCTAAAACATGTCGTTCTTTTCGCTGCAGTGCTTCCAAAGCAAGGACCCGAAATTCGGGGCACGAAGCCCCACTACAGAATCGGGGACTTGGTGAATGTGACGTGCCGGGCGGGGGCCTCCAAGCCACCGGCTGTGCTCATGTGGTACATCAACGGTGAAGAGGTAACAAAATGGCGAACTTAATTTACACAATGCACGACTGTATAGCTTTCCCGCGTGTTTCCATGTTTCAAATATTACTCTGTTTCACATTATGACTAGTACGAATGAAAGGACACAAGCGGCACTATGGCTCGGCGAGTCATCGTTTACGCGGTTAACATTTTTACTTTGTTCTGTAGAAAAGAAGAAACTGATAAAGAATTGCTTGTCTGCTTGCTATTTTATTCGCATGCCACTTTTGATACGCGATACAAGGGCTGGTAGCTTGTAAACTCAAAAACAAGCGTTCCTCACAAGAAGAATCTAAAGCGCAGTTGTCGCTTTTTTTCGTAATCTTCTGTCCGAAATTTTCCAAGTACAGAAATAGCTTGTTATTGCTACAGTCATAAGAATTATGCGCGTGGCTACGTTTACGTTACATTCGTATATTTTCAACTAGAGTTGTGCGTTCTCCTCACGCAAAAATCGTAATGACTGCGTGAATTTGTTCCTCCTAAAAGAAACGGCGCTCCGCACATGCATGGTCAGAAAACAGACGCGATTGAAGTGAGTACACTCAATTATGTCGACATTTTAGAACAGATTGTGCTTTCCCAGCTGAATTCTAGGAGAAAAACGTCACAAGGAGCCATCACGAAGCACTGTGACATCTTGTGACATCATCACGTCACGTGACATTGCGATGTGACCCGAAATTGTGACGTTACGTGGCACTGTGACATCACCAAACACCATGGCGTCACACATACCGATAAAATGTGCCAGCTCATTTGGAAAACATTCTGTGCTCACCGATCTTTGTCAGCAAAATGAATCTCGTGTGATTTCTTTCATCGACGCAGGTTCCTCCCAAGTACGAGAAGACGTACCCCATCTTCCGCGATCAAGACCAGCTGTACCACTCCTCGTTGGGCATGACGTTCACGGCGGAGCCGAGGCACTTCACGTACGGCATCATGAAACTCAAGTGCACGGCCACGGTGTCCGAGGCCTACTCACTCTCCAGCGAGGAAATCGTGGCGGCACAAGACGCCAAGGCGGCAGGTACTACTCTACGTCATCGGTTCGCAAACTTGGCTCCCAAGATGACGAATAGGGTTTCTCCTATTGAAACCTCAGGGGCAGACCAAACCAATTCTTTGAAACCGCAAAAACCCAAATTAAAGCAAAAATCAAAACAACCAAGTACAAAGACAAGCTCGAGACAACCTGAAAAGAATAAAAGCAAGAGGAAAAGAGGGCAATTTCTATTTAATTTAATAACGATTGCTGACCAGGTGTGTTCTGTGGCTGGGGTCTCACTAAATATATGCTTCCTCTTCTAATTGGCATTCATATATATTTTTACTTGGCATTTTTACCTTATTGATTTATTTTAAATTGACTCGTTCCCATTTTTAGAAGTGACCAGATGTCCGGGTTTTTCCATAAATAAACATCGCTAACAACAACAATTATATTAAATTGGCTTCAAGTCTGCAGTGCCAACGCAGGAGCAGACAGGGATAACTTTATTTTTAATCTTTTTCCTTACCACCCCATCTCAAAATTTGTATCCTCAAAGGCTCCTCGAGCTCTCAAATTTCCTCGGCTGCCCTTACCCACAAATAAAGGGTTCCTCTTGTTTAACTACTTTTTCAGAAGGTATAAGCTGCCCACTGTAACGTAGCATAACGTATGTTGCTTTACTGCATAACGTATGTTGCTTTACTGCATCAATGCCGAGATCTGGAAAGATTCCTCGGCTATCAAAGAACACAGGTTCGGGAACTCCTGCTCTATGTGATCTCCGTCGGTGTTCCTGATCGGTCGTAGAAACAGAATCAATCCCATCGCGCGAATTTTACGATTGTAGATAAGAGATGCCGTAAGCGGCTATTCTCGCAGTTTCTGTGCGTTTGGCATTCCGACACGAGTTTAGCGGACCCTTAACTGTTTTAGAGTGGGTTATGGTTTTTGTTTGTATTTTTGTTTTCTTACTGATACCTTAGGACTGCTGGTTGTCGGAAGCTGTGTATGTTGTTGAGCGTTTAGAAACGAAACGAATATCACCCTAAAACGCAAACCTAATTACTGCTTTGTGGTTTTAGTGTTTGAACAAAACTAAGTACGGAAATTATTTTTAATTCACTTGCCGTCAGGATCGGCAAATAATTCAAAACTTTTATAAATTAACACAGAAGCAATAGGTCTTGGTACACAATTTGTTTACTCCCCTATCAAGTTGTGTCAGTGTGCTTCTCCGCACAAGTAGTAACATTGAGGCAGAGCACCCTTTAGAGAAATATCCAATGAGTCCGTCAACTGAGGCAGGAGAGCTCCGGCCGCCATGGGGGGCCATGACTGGAGAGACACTGTTAGCGATTTGAACGACTTGCGTGCTCTATTAATACCGTGAAAGCTACAACCGTCCATTAGCCGCTTTAGTCTCTACTATTTGACCAAGTTAAATTTTCAACTGGACCTGTATGTGTCTGTGTGAGCAGACTATTGCAACTTTTCACAATCAATGGGTATCTATTTTCGCTCATTGTAGCCATATCTGCCAAGTGTGGTGAATGCTCACTAGTGAATATAAAACATTTTATTTTTAATACCAATATTTTTTGTTAAACCATGAGTTCACATATTGTGAGGGTTGTCTTCTCATTGAATATCTGCTGGACCGGGAAGCTTCAGAGTGAAGGGGATATGTGTTCACTTAATGTTAACCAATTCTTAACTGTACCGACAAAAACCCAATTTTTTTCAGAATTACAATATGCATTAATGAGCGATTATACGACCTTTATTTGGAGTGTGTTAAAAAAAAGTGTTGTACGAAAGGAAGTCGCTCTGCGACAGGATGGTGCCTGACGTCTCCGCTTTATAATACAGCTTCACAGCTAACCTAGGGTTTTTAACGTAGGTAACACCTGTGCATGTCTGCTAAGAGAAATCGCGTTTCGCTCGAAATTTTTTGAGCGCATGAACAGGGTCACAAAATGCCGCGCACGCTTGTGGTTGACAGGGTCAGATGACGACAAGCCTTCAATCACGGGAGGCCAGTCCAGCTACCACGTCGGCGATCTTGTGAACGTCACCTGCAGCTATTCGCGGTACGGGAAGCCCGTCGATCTGCAATGGCACCTAAACGACAAGGAGGTGAGTGACCTAGCTACTGCTCGTTTCGGGGGTTTACGATTCTAGTGGTCGTCTGAATGACCATTAGAATGCCAGGAGTTACGGTTAGAAGCACCAACACAAGACGCTCGATAAACAGTAATGGTCTGTTGATGAACGGAAAGGACCAGGAGGCCATTTCGCAGACGATCTAGAAATCTACGATACTGCACAACTTCTTCCCGTGCCTAGTTTGAGGTGTTCCCCTTCGTCTTCGGACCAGTCGCCTCAGATAAGTATGTTAAGGCTTCTTTATTATTTAGTCAATACTACACGCTGAACGAGAAAGTAAACAGGACAGTCTGTTTTTTTTTCAGTAAATATTTTAATTAGGAAAAACAGTCATTTCGTATTGAAAGCTACCACGAGCTTGGCCGCGTAGCCTACACAAAGAAGGCTTTTCTATAGTTAAAATCACGAATTTACCCTATGTTATAAACTTATAAATAAATATTTGTTGTTTTTTAGGATAGGACAACTGGCACCGGTTTCAAATAAATGTGAAAAGTGATTTTCACTCGGCGATTAGGGTCCACTTTTCCGGTAACGTCTCGTTAAAATAAAACCAGAGTAGATAGGCTGTTTGGGACTATTGCGATGGTGCAGAAACCTCTCCTTGGAAATCTGTGGAACCAACCGAAAGCTGAAGCACCCTATCGGAAGCTGAGTTTTTGTGCCACATGATAATAGTTTTTGTTTAGTGCCTCACCGTCATTTTATGCGTTTTTCTCTGTTAATACAAATAAACAGAACGTTAGGACGCCAACGAGTTGGTGATGGTTGAACATATATAATAGACCAAAACCCAGAGACTAGGGAGCAGTAGGAAAGCCATTACACAGAAGCAGCGTAGCTGTGTTTGAGTGATCTGCGTCGTGTTGTCTCTTTTTCTCCCCAGTCCAGGGGTTTTAGTCTACCATATTCAATAAAACTTCTTGCAGAAAAACTCAAGATGGCTTTACAAGAAAAAGAAACAACAAAAGACAACATTCGTTTTGCGTTAGATTAGTAACAAAAATCTCCTCATCTATTCTTGAATCACCTGCTCAGTCCAAGGAGTTATTAGTCTGACAACCCAAAAAATTTCCAGAAAAAAAAGCTTTACAAAACTAACGTAAAGCCGGGGCACACTGCTTATGGCCGAGTCCCATTAAAGCGACAAACAAAAACAAACGACAGCGTCAAGCCTCCAACTCATGCAGCATGCTCGCGATGACATATTTGGCAGGCGTTTAGTCGTTCGGTGCTCGTGAAGTAAGCACGAGTGATTGCAAATCCGTCAAAGATACCCTCGCGTGCATGATGCTGGTGTTTGGGCATAGCCTCCTTTATTCTACAAAGCCTGTCAAATTGCGAAAGACTCTGGTTTGAGGTTTGTCATTGTCGTTTGTTTCTTTTTGTCGTTCAGGTGGAACTCGGGCATTATACCATCATACAAAAAACAGTCTGCAAACAGAATCGAACGCAACTTTCCATCAGATCCGTGAGTTGAATCCCGCATGGCAACGAGTTCAAGGAGAAACTTGGCACGCGGCATACGAACCACGGATATCGCGGTCGCTATTGTTTGCAGACTGTCTTTTGTATGGTGTATAAGCAGTGTGACCTCCGGCTTAAAGAGCCCAGGTACGTAGAACATTCAACGTTTTTTTTTTTGTTTTTATGACGTGACGTGCGTGAGACGACTACCGCGCAACATAAGGAGTTACATCTTCATTTTCATGCGACCGGGCGGGAAGTAATTACGCGGTTCGGCGGCTGAGCCGGGATCGTCTTCGTTGGGACCTTTGGGCGCAGGTGTCTAACAGGTACCTGGTGCACCACCCGATCCACCGGTATGAGTCCGGGCGGCAGGTGACGTCCCTGGGGCTGCGGTTCACGGTGCGACCACACCACTTCCTGGGAGACGAGATGCGCATCAAGTGTACGGCCACGCTGAGCTCGGGCTCGACTCGGGGCTACACCAACTCCGGCGACCCTTTCTCCGAGAAGGAATTCGTCCTGGGAAGCAGCCACCGGAGCTCCGGACTCCACGTGTCCGAACACTACGGTGCCGGTGAGGGCTGCGGTGTGTCTGAGCCGATACAATTTAGAAGGCCTGCGCACGACGTCATCGTAAGTGGATCCCGAGGAGAACTTCGAGGGAGAATCCACGCAAAGCTGATGATGCGTCCTATTCGGCGTCGCTAACTGCTAGCGTCGCGCTCGCTTTGAGACACTGCAAGACTCGCTGGCGACATTGCTGACGCAAGAGGCTATGCGGGGCTATGTAAATCCACTAATAATGACTCTCTTTTTTTTTTTTTTTTGCGGGAGAGGGGAGGGGGGTGCGCAGGCCTTACTTTTTAGGGGATATTGCGGGAACATGCCTTGGACTCGTGTGTTTGCCGCGTCTTTAAATTGCTGTCTCCAGGATTTCGTCTCAGTGACGTCATAAATAGGGAAGTGTATACAAATCGCCGCTCTCACGGCGGTAGAGCAATAGCGTAGGTGCACAAATGCGACCGTGGCCTCCGAGATCCCCTGTGCGCGAAGCTCCCTCCGGCCGTTGCATTCATTTCGGCGGGGTCAGACCGTGATCGAAGAAAATGGCTCGTGGCTTTTGAGTCCTCCTTATGGCGCCCCTTGCTGTATCGCATTAGAACCCTTCATACTGCTCTCCGCTCTGCTTCAAGGCCGACAGCAGCTATCGCTACTATCTATGATGCCAATCAAACAGCCCCAAAAACCCCATAATCACGGCACTCCGCTTTTTTTCCACCTTGGGTGTTGCTTTAACCGGTAAAACCAATCAATGCGCGTGAATGGTTTAGTCGGTGATAGAAAACGTACAAAGTAGACGAGCCCCGTGACAATCTACTTTTGGCGCTGCTCGTTTCCCCAAATTCAGTCGAGTTAATTAACATAGTGATGTTTTGTTGACTACCGAAAGCGAAACCTCGTTCTCCTTAGTTTTTCCCCAGCGCGCCTCGCTTTCCGCCGGTGACGTCACGATTGAATGGCGGGAAAAACTTGGCATTGGCACGCTTACAACCACAATCCCCAGTTTTTCCCGCCGTCCAAACATGACGTCACCGGCGAGAAGCAAGGCGCGCTGAGAAAAAACTGAGGTAAAAAAAGTAAGGAGAACAAGGGAGAACGTTCAACAGCGAGCAAACAGGGGCGTTCATGCTATCTGAAGTTGATGTTAATCTCTATTCGCACAAAGTATGACCTTGACCTGCGTGCTGAGCTATGAGATATTAAAAAAAATGGAAGCAATTGGAATTTAGAGAAAGCCGTTTTTGGAGCTTGGTACGCTTAAGCTAGTTTCGCGAAATCGCTGTTGTAAATCCGTTCTCCTTTTATGTCAAAAATAAATTACGCTAGCAAATAAAGGTTCAAGAGTCACGCAATACAGTTTTTTTACAAATTACCCGAGCACCACGAAGAACGCTCGGAATGTGGGCACAGGCACCGCACACGCTCGTCTCACCTTAATGAACGTGTCATTTGTTTTTGATTTTCTTAAGGAAAGTTACTGTTGCAGACGCCAGCACGTGTCACCATTCTTTTAACGTGCATATGCTTTTTAATGCTTGGGAAAGTTAAAAAAGCTTCTATAGAGCGTTCCAGAAAAGCGCTTCTGGTCGGTGTTGTTTTCAGAGTTCGCTCTCGTGGCGTGTACTTTGCTCGCCTTCCGAAGCGACGAACATGCGCATGCTGGGCTCTGACCTAACACATGTTGACTTTGATTTTCGTAGACATTGAAATGGTGTATACACCACCCCAATATTAAAAAAAAAACAAATAGGTCGTGGGTATGTTTATACAACCTGAACTTAGTCTGCCTCAACGGGCGACTTGTCTCTCAACTGTAAATGAGCAGCTAAGCGACTGCAGCACAACCGCTGGCCTGGGGTCTTTAACGTGCACCAAGCAGTGGTGATACACGACCGCACACCGGTACGATGCTCATCCAAATCGAAACGGGCAGGCGTGGAAATTGAACCCAGGATTCCTGGGTTCATTCTAATATTTATAGGATCTCAGCCCAGCGTCTGGCAGTCTGGCAGTCTGGCACGCGCATGTTTGTAACTTCGGAAAGCGAGCAAATCAGGCGCCATACGTACGATCACTGAAAGTGGAACCGACCAGGGGCCCTTTTTAGGAAAGGTCTATAGTATGGAATAAACAGCATTCGTGTAGGCCACGCGGCAGGATAGTGTTCGTGAATATCGTGCTAAAATAAAAATTAAAAGAACTCCTCAACCACAAAGCCAAATGTCAAGGTGTAATAACAGGTGAATCGAATATACGAATACACTAACCAGCTTCAAATAAAAGGTAGCTGCTTGAAGATTCATTTTGTGCGTAAATTACAAAATAGCGTCATAAAATTTAAAATTCAACATAACGTAACAAAAAATTATTCGAAGGAAAATTGGTACCCACACTTTTTTTTTGTTGTTAACGGTCCGAGTAGAATGCAATCCGTAAAAACTGTCTCTCTTTTATGAGTGCACAAGAGGAAAGAGGATATAACTGTTTACAATATTTGGTTTTAAAATTAAGTTTTGGTTTTGCTTAACCTTTACAAGCGGCAAATTTACATGCCTCCCCTCAAAGGCATTTATATTTTATATTTTTAAAAACTTTGAACCATATTTGACATTTCTCTTCGATGGAATAAAATAAAGACGTTTTTATCACCTATCCTGCCAGAGAAAATCGCACGCCAACCATTTGGCACACATACCCGGTGACGACTTTATCGTATATTAATGGGACTCAACACCAGCTCCCTACAACACTGTAATACCAGACACGGATTGTATTGCGTCAAAAGTCACGTCTAAAATCAAAATTGAACTCCGTTTAGACGATTCCCTTGCCGTTTTCAACAGATTGGCCGCGTGACTGGAACGCCGAGGGTTGCAAGACGCGACGACTTTCGCTCTCTGAAGCTGATGATTATACCACCCTACCGAATTGTTGATGAAAGAGAAATAACCGAAGCAATTGTGAACAAAAATAATGGGCTATAATTTGGACTATTTTCTCGACGTTATCAGCGTTCCTTTTTGGAGGGAACTCGCGGTTTGAGTCTGCGATTGCCACTCTTAAAGCTGTTCGAACTCCAGAAGGATGTTCAACTATCAGCACGCGGTTGTGAAGTATTCCGAGCATAAGCAGAACTGTTTCAGGCTGACACTAGATTCCTCGGCACACAGCTTGCGCAAAAACACCATGACGTGACTCGCCTCCACTGCTTCCGGGAAACGCATGTTTCCTCACGAAAACAAAAAGGAGTAGAAAATAACCCTTTTTTTTTTAGCACTGTTTGTATACTTTACCGCGGTATACAGATTGCTAAAGAACTTTCAACCTTGAAGCTGTGAAAAATAAATATTGTCAATCCCTGACGACACGGAAGGCCGCTTCACCCGTTTGCCTTCGCCACCGGTGACATACACGGATAGGGAAAAACAGGGATATTTCATTGTTGCCAATATAAAGTCGCCTCCTAAAATTCTCACGGCCGGCGTAATTTAAAAACCCAGCAACTTCAGGGGAAAATTTTATTTTAATAAGATGCTATGGCCATCAGTTGAGAAAGAGTTGTTGGCGCGGTCTGCCAATTTCCAGCCACGTCGAAAACTATAAAGAACCGGCGGACTTTCCTATCGAAGCGAAACGAAGTATAGAAGAATTCGGCAGGAACTGGGAGCCTGGTATCCGGTAAATGATATGTTTACTCCACCGTCTTGTGTTTTGACGCATAATAAATTATGACTGTCTGTTCAAACATATAACACATCATTCTGTGGTATTGCGAAGTTTGCTCGTTTTTGCGGGCCAGAAGCTGCGCCCATCGGTCAAATTTTTCACTATTAAAGCTACCAGAAAGAAGCTCTGAGCCAGGACTAGTTCGCTAGGGGCGCCGCGCGTTCGCTGGTGTTTGTTCGTGAGCTGAGGTTATGCTGTTTCATAAATCACGATGCTTCTGATGGACGGCGGAGAGACTGGATCGACCGGAGGAAAGCTTTGCAGGCTGGTAATCCTGGAGGCCATTGTACGAAATGCACCGCTTTTCGTGTAGCTTGCTCTGTAGACGACCATTTCATTAAAACTGACATAGCAATAGGCTTGTTACCGCTTACGACCTGCGAGTGGTCACAAGAGGCTTAAAAACAGGTTGTAGTGCACTCGGAGGCAACCAAACGCAACTTGTGTGAACGAAGCATTTAGTTTGTGCGTTAAAAAAGCGCTTTGAGCATGAACCGGGCACTCCGACAATTGATGCTAACAGTGGCCCGGCTGGTTTTCCATCCAGCTGCGTTCTCTTGTGAAGTAATGTTTGAAGCGCAGCTCCGGTGGAAAACGAAACCAAAATAAATTACTGCGATCGCTTTAGTGGCACGAAATATAATCACAACCAAAATATTACGTCAAAGTGAAGCCGCGTACTCCACTGAAACCGATTTTAAGGATGCGACCAGCTGATCTTTAGCGGGTGGCAAGCAGGCTGCCTCTTAGTCGAGGAACACTGCGTGACGCGTACCGCAGTACCGCGCTGACGTCACATCGCGGCAGTACAACTGATGATCAGTGTTGCCATCCCTTTAGTAGATAGTTTCGAATCTGCCGTAGACTCCTGAAACCAAACTTTGAGCCGCGATACTTATAAAACAACACACAATATCGAGAAAAAGATTATAGTATTTTAGAATTCGGGCACAGTGACTGAGCTCAAAACATTCGTAATTCCGTATTCGAAAATACTGACCGGAGTAGCGCTTTAAATGCAATTGACCTGAAAGAAATATACAGTGTGTTTTTTGGCAATGCACCCAAATTGCTCCTTTGAAAACCATGCATCGCACAGAAAAAAGGTTGATGCAGTACTGGTCTTTGCCAAAGGGCCCGTTAAGGAAAATTATTGGCGCTCAGTATGACAGGGTAATTAAATACTTTCTAGAACTTAAGTTTTTATTTATTAAATTTAGAGGTGTAGTTTTAATTGGAAACGTGATCGAAAGCTATAAAATCCACTCTCTTTACAATGATATAAGGCACGCGCAGCATTTTACGGCGTTTTGAAAAATGCTCAATTTAGACGCGTTTCTAGGTTTCCGTTTCTTGGCGGAAATTTGATACCATTTTTCCTTTCCTGAAAGTTCTCGGTGGGTCGCCTGAACGAATAAGTGTTCCAGCCCATCTACTTAACACCCCTATTTCTTTTTATTACTAATTTTGTTTGGTAAAGACATAGCTCTCTTTTATAATTATTACAATTCACAAACTGAAATGTTTTCTTCTAAAGCGATATACAGGCCTCAAAGTTTGCCTCAAAAGTCAACTAAAAACTGGAGAAACAAGACGACATACAAATTTAATTATTAATTACACTAATTCAACCTGAGCGGAGAAGCCTAAAATACAGTTCCGGATGTGCATTAAGGACTAACCTACCCACGAGCAACACGGCGGTTTTACACTGCAGCCTTTGAACTTTTTTTTTTTTTTGTAATTAGGTGCGTTATAATCCTGGATGAGCAACGTACCGGCGTGCGGTCGTACATCATTACTATGTGATGCAAGTCATGTACTCCTGTTTATCAGTCGTACTGCACCAGCGGCATTTCTCATCTGACCCAGTCTCACCAAATCAAAAAATACATATCGACCGCGCGCTGCCTAAACACTCACGTCTAGTTTCATCGACACAGTCGAGTCGTTGCTTTAGAAAGCAAAAATGATACGTAAGATACGTGTCATAATAGATATAAAAATACTCAAGTTCACACCCATGCCTTCAGCAGAATGTTGCTCAGATTAACTTTTTTGTGTCTTCAGATTTTGAAACTTTCACCACAGCAGTCAAAATGTAAAATATCGTTCCAGTGACGATTATTTGTCTTGGCGCCTTAGGGCTTGTCCTGACTCACAATATTATTCATAAACACCATACAAAAACTTCACTTTAACTTTTCAATGTCCATCGAACGAATGAGTTCTAGCAACTTCTCACTTACTTTTGTCTCTTTCCAGTAACAGATCCCAACGGATCCGCAAGGACTGTCTCGAGGATGCTCGCTTCCTTTCTCCTGGCTGTGTGGATATCCATGGGTTTTCGATGAGTCAAATGAGAAGACCCTGGCCAAGACGCCCAGCGGTTTTCTCTGACATCCGGTCCTCCTTTATCTTTCCTTCCTCCACGAACGGACACGCAACACACACTCCCCGACTATCTCCCTCTCTACCTTTCTTCTATCATCTCGGGCCTGAGCAGTGGTTGTACATACTTCAGTGCCTTTGATTCATGTCCACATTCACAGCCCCTCGCATACGCAGGTTGCCCTATCCCCGATTTATATCTTCGTATGAATGAAGGATCGCAACGCAGCGTTGGAGTACATCTGCCAGAGGACGGTACAAGTGCGGAAGCTGGTTATAAGACGTGGATGTTAACGTGCTTACTTGTGGCGTTGAAGATATACTTGTCATGGTCGTTTCGAGTAATGTGCGTATAGGATTGTCAACTAAACTCCAGCGATATCCTGCACAAAAGATGGCGAAAGTATTGTAAGATTGAGTGTGATAAAACGTGTGACTAGTCGATTTATTTATTACTGTAATAAAGTTTAAAATCAAGCTATAGTCATTGACGGAATGAAAACGACAGGGCATGTCCTTCGAGCACCCGGTCTCCAGTACGCGTTTCATGCCTTTCGCCATGCTTCGTCTGGGCGCGTGCGCTCGGAGCGCACGAGACGCCTCAGCGTTGTCGGAGGTGCACCAGCTCGCGCTAGAGGCGGGAAAAACTCAAGCTCTTCCATTCAGTTTTCACCTTGCCAGTGACTACGGCAGATGGCTATTCACAGTTACAAGAATCTGAGAGTGTAGGACGGGTCGAAAACGAGAGAAATAATAACGCGAATGAAACAAGAACGCATATAAGCATTCGTTTGTTTTGATTACACGTATAACAAAATATAATTTGAGTATTTCAAATGATATAATTAAAAACCCTCGAAGAGTTTATGCGCCATAACGTCCTAATTATTTGTTTTATAAAGAAAAGCTTTATAATGTTGGTATTTGCTACATCAGATGTTCTCCCGTTGAATATGTATTCACTTTCGTGAATCGGTAAATGTTTCACAAATTATTTGGGACACATTTAATTTTAATACGCGTCCCAAATATCAGACCCGCGGAGCTACGAGTTAATGAAACAATGGTAACTCTTCACGCGCGGATCTAGTTTTCGAAGTGTGAACGTGTGAAATGCCGTGAACGCGCTGTTCAGAACTGTATTAGATAATAGTCGAAGAAGTTGTAGCTACTTATCACTCGAAACAGCTTCTTTCAGAGTTACACCTTTCAGGTAGTGCAGAATACCGGTTAGTGTGAGCGGCATGATAAAGCTTTTTGATGTGGTCCCGAATCCTGCATCCTTCGTTACGGGATAGACGCAGCGGTGCTCAGTACTCGTGAACAAATAGTCACGCTTCGAAAATAAGATTATTTCTAGATAATCTAAGAAGCTTTAACGTAAGAGTTGGCGAACCAAGGCTGACCGCCCGAGAGGGCGAGGAATGGACTAACAAGACCGGTTCGTGTAAATACAAGAGGCGTACGAATGTCAGATTTCTTTTAGCAGATTTCTTTCTACACACCGGACGGCTATGAACAATGCATCACTACTTCATTCGAACCCCTATTCTCGATTCCTTCGACATTACAATTTATTTGTATTTTTGTCGTGTTTTTTTTTAATTTTAGGTACCACCACACGAAAACTGTAGGTCGCAGAACACACCGTATCCCTTTTTTACCCTTCAATATTCTGTATTTGGTACAACCTGTCTGAGAACTGGTTTTAGTTACTGGCAACTAGATTATTTTACGAGTGTATCTGACATGCGCACCCAAGTGTCGGTTACAGAGACACCAAACCTTTTACTGGCAGGCAGTAGTTGTTCCCAGGTTGTTCAATGAACGTAGTCATTTGAACCCGATCACGCACAGCATCCACTAAATTACACTATTTAAAATAATGCAACATATATTTACTACATTATCTTGCTTCTTGGCATCAAAATTATGCTAGAAAAACTAAACAAAAGGACGCTTTATTAGGAAGCAAAGAAAGGGAAGTATGAAAATTGTGTCACTCGATTCTGACAGTTACTGAAGCAACAATACTAAAAATGTGTACATAAATATACATATTACGTACGGTTCGCCCCTAAAGGTTACAAGAATAAAGTTACTGACGTAGAGAACATTGTTAAACTCCTACGGGTGTAGATATGTCGAGATTTATATATATAAAAAAAGAATTGTTCCCTGAAGACAGTTACTGTAATTAATATTCGAGAGGTGTGCTCTCAGACGCCCGTGCTGTATTTACCGTCGCTTCTGCGTTGCTCATGCATACTTGTAAATGATGACATGTATGTTTCCCTCAAACTTGATTTCTTAAATACTGTAAATAAAGTTTTTGCAATAAAGAAATGAAATTGTTTCACGACTATTGATTTCGGAATCAACCGCGGCATTACTTGGGTTGCTTTTAAAACAACGAAACGCTACACATTTTATGCGGCATATACAAAAAAGTATCAAAATGAAAAAAAAAATTGAGATTAGCTTCACATTGATTTGTCAAAATGTTTGCAATTTGGAGCTCATTATTTTAAATAAAAAGAGTCCTTACGTGCACCGTGGTTCATCACGACAGGCCAATTTATCTCCCAATCGTCTCCAACAGGCATGTAGCCAGGGGGCGGGGGGGGGGGGGCTATGGGGCCCGGGCCCCCCCCCTTCCCAAAATCTTCCATTTTGCTGGGACCTCCTCTCCCCCTTCTCCCTCATACAGCATTTTGTCATGGGTGGGCCTCCCCCCCCCCTCCCCCCCCCCCCCCCCCGAAACAAAATCCTGGCTACGTGCCTGGTCTCCAATATACATTCAGTTCAAAATTAGTTTCCAAAACTGAGCTCTCCAGTATCATGCGTTTCTTACTTGTCACTGATTTTTTTTTTTATTTTATGGCTAACATTTCTTTCCTTCTTTCTTTTTTCAAATCAAGTTTGGCTGCAGCTGATGAGCTGCCTTCGCAATCGCTTAATCTTAATGTCAACAAAAGAATAGATTGCATATATTACATCGAGTTCAATCAGTCTTATCGATCAAGTTTGTGATACGCAATATTTACGTGTTTTGTCTTTTTATGGTTATATAACCTCCCAGTTAATGTAAAGTTTGATATGTATTCTAGCTAGAAATTGTATTTTTCCTTGGTTCAAAAAATAATGTGCTCATAACCTTGTTATAGCTAGGAAAGGTTCTAACTGCTCGAAACTCGAAATTCAACTCTACTCTTCTCGTGAACGCAGGTTTGCCACCAAAAAGAAAGTATATACAGGGTGTTTATTTTAATTCGCCCATATTAAAAAAAAAGGGGGGGGGGGGGGGGAGAGAGTTAAGGCTGGTTTACACTTTTGCAACCGACTACAACCAAGTCCGACAGAACCGGATTTTAAGCCTCCTACGACCGTGCCGCGCAGCAGCAATGGCGGCCGTAAGCGACTTAAGAACACACTCGTGTGCGTTACTCGAAAAATGTAATTGATTACAATTACAAATTACCAAGCCTCAAGTGTAATTTATTGCCGTTAAAAATTCATTTCGCTGAAAAGAAACGGATTACATTATTCGTTACATGACACCTTACTTTCATGTTACTTTCCCGTACGCCTTTGAAGAACAATTTTGATGTTTTCGAAATTGCTCTGCAACACTACTCTCCATTTCTCGTAGGCCCAAATTGCGGCAGTTCTTGTTCACCTGTGTGCTGACAAGGCAGCGAAAGCTGCAACCACACCCGCCATCCCGCTAGCTTACGACGACCGGAAATGATCCCTGGAATCGTGCAGACAAAGCTAGCGGTGCGCATGCTCAGCAGCAGCGTCTACCTCCTCTACGAGGTTCAGAGGAAAGGAACATATCGGCAAAAGCTCCCTTTTGACTCGGGTGTTTCACCGGTTAAGAGAAGATGAACATGGTTTTAACCTTACAATGTACAGCAAACGAAGAATGAAGGTGTCCTAGCTTATTCTGATGTGTTTACGTAGATTAGAGCTTGTTGTTCTTGTTGATGACAATACGTGTTTCTTAGTAAGCAAAGCCTGCACTGAAACCCCAGGTTCCCGTTCTCCTTAATGCCCTAAATTTTGGACATTTCATTAAGAGATGGCCATGGAGACAGCGCACACTCCATGACCAAAAACTCGACCAGTCAGAGGAAAAGCGGGGTGTTACGGGTTATCGATCGTCAGTTCTCAGTCTTTCATATCAAATTCAAGATTCGTGGAGGTCAGGGCAAGGGAGGCCATAGAGTGCGAGAGAAGCGGTGGCCATCGGCCTCACAAAATAATAGAGGATCACTCCACTCTTACTTCTATAGGGCTCTCTCATTCTCTCCCTGTCAACATTCCTTAGGTGACCTTACCTTTCCCCCCCCCCCTCCCCCCCTCCCAGTTTTTTTTTTTTTTTTTTTTGACGGTTGAGTGTAAATTGGGAGGTGGACTTGACCACCATGCCCGGACAAGTAAGCCAAAATAATTGTCATGCGTATACCCTCGAAGACGAAGCTCTTCGCCTCGCGCCGGGCGCTTTTCAGCCTCGCCTCAATAGCGTACTAGAATACAGTAGTGTACATCAAAGACAAAGAGAAGTCACCTCGATTCCCTCGAGAGAAGCCACTCCGCCCGTTACGCGAGTTGCGAACCTCCAAAACGAGGGGGGACGAACCGCGTTTTGTGTGTGTGCAGGTAGAGGGAGACGTCGTAGTTGGAAGAAATAAAACTGTGTAAAAATGAAAAAAAAAAAAAAAATAAACACGAAGAGCTTTGTCATGCCCGTGAGAAGAAAAACACGATGGAAGGCGATGGAAAGAGGAAGAGCCCACTCGGTGTTTTCTTCTTAATCTTTGTTTACTAGATCTTTGTTTCACTCTTTCACTAGATCTTTGTTTCACATAACAGGGTTTCCTAATAAGCGACCGGTCATACAAAAATATCGTGTTTTCGGTTATTATCCTCTTGACGACACTTTCTATTTTGTTGAACTTGCTGTCTTTATGCAGCTGAATTGCCTGCTCTTTTTGCTCCAGTTATGTTTATATTTATGTTCATATATATATATATTTTTTAAAGTAATAATTCATTAAAGTAATCCGGTATCAATATTTGTAACAAAATTACAGTACAAATTACTGCCGCAAAAAAGTAACGCGGTAATTACAAAATTACCTGAAAAAGTAATAAATTACAAGTAATCCGTTACTTGTAACGGGTTACTTCCCATGTCTGCTTAAAACCCCGTTTTGTTGAACTCGGCCATAGTCAGTTGCAAAATTGTAAACCAAGCTTTAGAGGAGTGCCGTTTTCACCATGCATTTTTCAGTATCGGCGGACATTAGTTGAGGGGATAATCGTCATGCTAAGGTGACCAATGAACTAAAATTCGCGAACTTTTGAATTTCTGGCTTTATGGGTCATGTTGTAATTGCAGTACTGACGGCAATTACGGTCCGTTCGCGCTCTTCCGCTTGACTCCCACCGACTGAAACACGATCGGTTTTTAAAGCCTTTTGTGACGGCTTACGATCGGCTGCACATTGCTGCGCATCCGGTCGTAAGCCGTCCTAAGAGGCTTAAAAACCGGTCTTGTCTCAGTCAGTCGCAGGCAAACGCAAGTGTGTGAAGGGGGCCTTTGCTATTAGAAGTGAGACCAATTTAAAGAGTTTGCGAAAAGGTAATGTTTTTTTTAAATATATTATTCGATCGATTTGCGCTTTTTTTCGCCCAATTAAAATATTTCGCGAAAAAAAAAAAGCGCATCGAGCCTTGCCCACAATAACGCTTGGAAGGGTGACGCAGTCGTTTAGGCAAAGTCGTTACTTATGTCGTGGGGGCACCCACAAGGACACGCTGTCGAGACAGCGAGGCCATGATTGAAGCGCCATCACCCTTCCAAGCGTCATTGGGGTTGGAACAGACATGCACGTAACGCGTTACTAGTAACAAGTTAATTCTACCTACTTACTTTTTCGGCAACGAGTAACGCATTTAGTTATATTTTTTTAGAAAAGAACCAATCAACGTACTTTGCTACCTTTAAGGTCATGTAACAAGCAACACTATTAAGTTACTTTCCTGGGTACAACACCGTTTACACAGCCTCGTTTTAATCCTAACTTGAGTGTGCGTCTATTGCGACAAAGGCATATGGACTACCCGAAAAACAACCAAACAGTATGACAGCATAGCAAGCTTTATCGCTGAACACGTCAGTCGAACTCTACGGCTGGGAATATCCTTCACCCAGAGAACACAATAAGGTTCGTTGGTTGAATGTTTTAGAATCGCTTACCGACCGAATGTAAACCGGGAGGTTTCCAACGCGGGAAGGTACAGAACCTATTTTCAACTTCAAACTTTAGAAGCATAGAGAGCAAAGGAGAGAGGGAAATCCCAGATTCACCAGCTCTTCCTAAAGCACAACACTGCCGTTCCTTCGAGCACGTCAGTAGAACGACTCTTCAGTGTCGGCGGAGGTGTATTCTCAATGAATCGAGGAACATAACTGATGAAAACTTCGAGAGGCAGCTAATGCTTAAGTGCAACAACTTCTAAAAAGAAAACAATAAATCATGAAACAAATCAGTTGTTTATTTGACCGTAAAATTGACGAGAAAGGTACCTGGCTACTTTTTGGGTAAAGTAGGGCGTTTCTTTTGAGACTCAGTAACGAATAACGCATTTAGTTACGTTTTGAGCGAGTAATGAGCAACGGTATTTAGTTAATTTTCGGGGGTGACGTGTACATGTTTGGGTATTTTTTTTCGAAAATTCTTTAAATTTGTCTGACCTCTAATTGTAATTGTCGTCAATACTGCAATTCCAACTAAAACCAATCATTAAAAAGTAACGAAGATATTTTATTAATTCTTCAACTTACAGTGACAGTTATTCCATCATCTCATATCCGCCGAACCTAAGAAATACATGGTTAAGACAGAACTCGTCTAACTCTCACCCCCCCCCCCCTTTTTTTTTTATCAGTTCGGATTAAAATTAAGCACTTTACAAATAAATATATTGAAGCTGTTTTGTATTTGAGGAAACACACTTAAAGCATCTTCATTTTACCTCCAAAATCTCGAATATCAAAAGTTTTCTTTTTTTTTTTAATTTGGTGCATGGAGGCTGCAGAAAATCATTGTCAAAACAACCGCTGAAGAAGGGCCTTCTTCACAGAATGTGACGCCACAAAACTTCTTTTCGGAATCTTCGCTCTCGCGCATCTTCAGCACCTTTCAAAGTTATGCACGCGTACCCTTGCTATATTCGAAAAAGGCAGAAAAAGACGTCACGACTACTCTCTCTTTTGTTCTATTAAAAATGCAAGCACGTTGGCAGGGCGGTGTCATTTTAATTATTGTTATCCC